AATTTGCCTGGCGGTCACTGGGACTCTAGTTAAGTAAACAAATTGGCCCTTGAATCAGGCTAAAACAAAGGGCGGCTCTCAGACTAGTAAATTCAAAATTCCTTTTCCAGGGATGCCCAGCCAACGCTGTCCATAAACTGTGCTACGCACGCACGTGCGACAAGTCGTGAAAAACTTTAGTAACAGCATTGCGAAGCATGCCAACACCACAGTCAATATATTTATTGAGCTCTTAAAGGACACCAGTCTTTTTAAATCTAAAGCTTACGTCTTATCATATGGGATAAAAACATGCAAAAAGCAGTAGACGATTTTCATGCATGATGGGAAGACATTAAATATTTAGATAAGCCACCTTTAATAATGAACATCATGGGTATTATTGATTTAATCGTGAATCTGTCAGATACTTTTTTCGACAGCACTTGGCCCAAACTCATTGGGACGGAAATGTTCAAAACAGGATCCTTAATACTGTGATATGGGTACGGGTATCAAGATTTACTGCCCTCCTAAACACGGGATATGAAATTTATTGTCTTAACGGATAGTTGGTTTAAATTGACAAGCAGTAACTATTGTACTCCTAACTAGAATGCAATACTTACATAATTGTTGAACTGGCTATAGGAGCTGATTATTTTATGATTAGAAGGATAAATAAATGATTAAATAGTAAGGGATGGATTATAGTTCATTTTTAGAAATGACTAGGCAAGGTCTTAATCCTATTTAAAAAAATTTACTATGAATAAAACGATAAATTTTTTTAGCTACCTTTTTTCAGTTGAATATTTTATTTAGGTGAAGAATGAGCGTGTTAAAAAAATTGGAAAAAGAGCATCACTTAATTCAGGTAGAGGCTATTATTGCAAAACAAATAGCTATTTCAAGCACTACACGAATGGCAAACTGAATTCAAAAGAAAGAAATAAAGCAAATGCATTTAAAAAGGCACAACGCGGAGATGAGGCGGTCCGAGTAAAGCCCATTTTTCCTTTTATGTAGTAACGTGCGAATAACGACACGATCGGTAGGGGGTTTTGTCTGATAGCGCCGTTACGACGCTGTAGCTGAGGGCATCTTGGATGAAAGTTAACCAAGATTACGGACATTTTACGGGCGATCCCTTTATGCAAAATGCTCCAGTAAAGATGTGATGTGGTGCCAAATGAAGGTCTCCAGAATAATGAAATTATTTTAACTAACAGTTCTTAATGAGAAATACATTGCAGGATGTAAAGCTAGCCTATGATTAGCATAGAACAATAGGGCATGAGTTAGAATGAAGTCTGTATGCAAAATGACAGAATTAATGAAAACAAATGTGGTACCGCGTAGCGAGCCTAACCAGTAAAGGTAAAATGAATTAGGCAGGTTGGTTATGGAAGGTTTTGGGCGACAACTCGAATAGTCTATAATACTACATATTCTGTCTATTGGTAGATCAAAAATTTAAGGTAAATAAGAGAATCAATTAGAAAAATTACTCTATTAAAATGTGAATGGTATGGAAGTAAGTTGAATTTGTGTTCGCAATTTGGTATGAAGACCTAGAGGAAGGCATCTAGTCCGAAGTCTATAGTATGCATGATAATTTACAGTCGGGCCGTGAAAGTCGTACACGTTTCGCCGGAATCGACAATAAGCCTTGCCAATCTTAGCACCACACTACAACTCGTTATAGAGATAAGTGAAGCCAATCATTTTGACCAAATGTCTGCTAAACAATATTATTATATCTCCTATCCTGCTCTATTCAACAATCCTATATCCTCGTATCAACCCTTCACTATCAAAATTTCTTAATCGTTTAGTTAAATGTAGTACGGTGCTCTTTTGAGCGGATTTCTTAAGAACTCTCCACACCCCTTCATCCTTGTGCTGAGAATTTTGATCAGTCTGCCATAGTATTCCGCAATCCTCTTCACATAAGTCTTATCAAATCTCTATCTTGCCGAGTATGATCCGCCTCCTAACTTCCTGGTTTAGATATTTAACTCGACCACTACTACCTTATCTGTACTACTCGAGGCGTTATTTTCCACACTGTCTCGAACCTTTGATGGCACGCATACTCCCGGCTCGATGAATAGGCCGCTATAAATCAGTATTCTCAAGCTGGATGAGAGACTAACTTGAGGTTAAAGATCCCGAGTAATCCTCATAGTCAAGATCTTGTTTCATGGACAAGGTCTACGATCAAACACATCAACTGTTTGACGTGTTCCATCGCCGCATCCATCGTGCTTCTAGCCTTAGTTGCAAGTCTATGATGTCCTGCGGTGTAGTCTCTTGTGTACCAATCCACAAATGTTGTGGTTGAGGAGACTATGCAGAAAGAAATCACATGTGGAAATAATCGTCAATTTCCAGTCACATCACAAATATAGACTGAAGATCGAAATAATGAGAAATATGATCATTAGAAAGGACATTGAGTTCTGAAACTAAGAGTGTAAGAAATTAACTCGTATTTGACTTAGTAACGGGTACCGCAGACAATTTACAGAAATAAATATAGAAGTCACAATGAACAGATTCCAACTCGGATTTTATGAAAATCCGATCAGGAATCAGGAGGACAAACAAAAGTGGATATACCTGCCCTGTTTTGAACCAAGCCGAAAATTGCGATCGAAACAAAGAAAATGGAATAAAGTGTGTGTGATAACAAGGCAGAAGACAACACATTACACCAGTCTGCCGGCGCAGCACGAGAAGACTGACAAACTAGATTGCAGGAAGAAAAATCGACCCACGAATCAAGAAACATCAGACTGCAGAAACATGGAAACGGAAAGATACGAAATAGCGGAACATATTTCACAGACGGGACACTCCATCGAATAAAAATCGACACAAATGATGGTTGCATATGGTGAAAATACGAGAAAGGGCAAGATCAGAGAGCCCATCGATATACTAACTGAAACAAATCTAATAAACAGGAGACTTCAAGAAGGCAGGATCGGCGAAAGCTCTGCAGATTGCCTAAACAAACTCGGAGATCAGACAACAGTAATATCAGCAACAATTAGACGTCTAGCTCAGGATAACATCTTTAAATGTAGGAAAAGAAACGGCAAGGAGACTAGAAAGGAACAATAAGAAACCAAGAGGATACCTTTAGTTACCCTAATCAAAACAAGCAGAACCACAACATTTGTGGATTGGCACACAAGAGACTAGGGCATAGGAAATCATAGACTTGGTGCTAAGGGTAGAAGCCAGATATATGCGGCGTAGACTAGAGCTAGTTGACTAATAATTGGCGTGTTTCATCAAAGACCTGGTCGATTAAGCAAAGGCTTGACCATGAGGATTACTCGAGCTTTTTAGCCTCAAGTTAGTCCCCCATCCAGCTTTAGAATCCTGATTTTTAGGGGCCTACTGAGCGAGGCGGGAATATGCGTGCCATCAAAGGCTTGAGGTATTGTGGAAAATTACGCTTCGAGTAGTACAGATAGGGTTGCAGAGGTCGAGTGAAATACCTGAACCAGGAAGTTAGAAGGCGGATCCTACGGGGCAAGAGGAAGACTCTGATAAGACCTATGTGAAAAGGATTGTGGAATACTATGGAAGACTCTGATCGACATTCTCAGCACAGGGGTGAAGGGGGTGAGAAAGCCAATGAGGTGTGGAGAGATCTTAAAGGATCCCCTCAAAAGAGCTCATTATACCATATTTAAATAAGCGATTAAGAAATTGTGATAGTGAAGGGATGATATGATATAGGATTGTTGAATAGCCCAGGATAGAAGAAATATCACGAACGTTTAGCATATAATTGGTCAAAGGATTGGTTTCACTTATCTCTGATGAGTTGTAATGTGCTGCTAGGACTGGCAGGGTTCACTGACGATGCTGGCGAAACGTCTGGCAATGTATCACGTCCAAGATCCGACTCTAAAAATTATCATGCATAGTCTGAACTCCGGACTAGGTAAGTTCCTCTAGGTCTTCTACCAATATGACCAAGTTGCGAAAACAAGGTCAAACAACTTCTATACAACGAAAGGAGACTGCATCCACACAAAAGGCCACACAATCTTGCTCCTCATACCTACAATTAACAGAGATATAGTCTGTTTTAAGTCACATTTACTTAGTAACCCAATGACTTTCGGGTTGTGACATGGTGGTAAAATGTTAAATCGTAAAGCTAGGTGACGAAAGATGTGATATTAAAATGATGGACTTAGAAAGACCTTAATAAAAATTGACATACTTTAAGTAGACATCGAAGTGACTTCTCATTAATATCCGATGAATTCTCCATTTTATCGAGCCGCTTTCGCAATGAGCTAATCACGAATCCAGGAGACTCCTCCACAAGGTCCAGAATGCAGTCGCGAGCCTTGGAATTCAAAAGTATCGCAGAGAATAAATATAGCAATTCCATTGCTTGAGAATATGCTCAAACATATCGCATTCTAAAAACAGTGGAGCCAGCTTAGCAATTAAGTGCACAAAAATATTGAATAAAGGATCGCTAGAAAAAGAGAAGATAACATAGAGAAAGGTAAAATAAACTTGTGAACTTTATAACATGAAGAAAGACAGGTCAAACAAAGTCTGATTGATAAAGCTAAAACCTAAGCATAAGATGTGAATTTTACGAGGGAATCTTACCTAGAAGCACTAAAAGGCTAAGTGACAACGATGAGTTGGAATTGGAACGAAAAGTGAATACACAATATATCTGAAAGTGTATATAAATAGCGCCGACGGTGAAAACTTGCGGAAGCAAACAGGAAGGCTGACGATTTCACATTAAAGTCATCCTGAATCATCTATCACATTCTGCGCGAAGTCTATGGTATATCATAGTAGAATGAACGTCTTTTTGATAACAGATTAGAAAACTTATTTTATCTTTAGTGAGAGCAGCTTCGTGTGAAGATAGAATTTAGTCGAATGAAACTTTTTGAGAATAAAATAATATAAATATGTATGCGATAAACTGGAAAGTTGGGTGTATAAAGGACAATTTCATTTTAGAGTATTCCGTTAAACTGGAGAATTAAAAAAGTCAGTATAGATTCACCTGATGCCGTACAGAGTCAACGGGACCGCATTCCTGAGCAACTTTGGCAACAAAAAGTGGTTCTTCAAGTAGACGAGTAGGGCAGTCGGGCCAAACAACTCTCATGCGTCTCGCATCATTAGGCAATGCTTCAAGGGCAGCCAATAGATGTGGTTTTAGAAGCTCACGCTCAGCTTCGCTGCCAGGCGGGACGCTACCATTTACAGATAGCAGGTCAGCTAGAGGACTGCGACTCGCCAAAGTCATCTTATTATAATGAATAGAATAAGAAAAAAAATTAATAGTTGGATGAGACCTAGAATAAAATTACACTCAAATGTAGATTTAAATTAGGGTACGGAGAAGTATATTATAGGTATTAATCAAATGCACATTTTTATGAATATTTTACCAAAAATTCATTTCAAATATTCAACAATTAGTGTTATTTCGACTACGTTTTCGCAACTTGATCAGAGTCAAGGAGACCTTGAGGAACATACCTGGTCCTGCGTCCACTCCCATAGTAGTCGTGATGCCCAGCATGGAATGATTGACTTGGTACATTCCAAAACGTTTCGCTGACATCGTCAGTCAGAGTTACAACTTATCAAAGTGGCATGCTCCTATGCAAATTTTCTGTTCAACTGTTGTGTTATCATTATCCACCCCTAATTTTTATTCTACCTTCTTTTCCTATATCTCTTTCTCTTAACCTCACCTCATATGACCTACCTACTTATTCATACAATTCTATGCTCCTATACAACAATTAATTTCACAGTTACTTGTCTGAGTAGATGTAGGTGCTAAAGACTAGCTAGTTAATCAAAGATACGAAGACCAAGATGGTGTGTTGTGTTCGGTATGGTCGCAGTCTCCTTTCGATGTATAGATGTGGGTTGACCTCGTTATTGCATCTCGGTCTTCCTATTAAGACTGAGTTGGATGCATCTTGTCCGAAGTCCTCTGCCATGGTAGTTATCATGTTTCCCATTGTCATACCGGTGACTTGATACATTCTCAGACGTTTCGCCGGCATCATCAGTGAGTCTTGCCATTCTCAGCACTAAGCTATAACTCTTCGTCTCTTTGATGAGTTATAGCCTGATGCTGATAATGCCAAGACTCAGCGATGATGCCGGAGAAAAGTCTGAGAATGCACCGACCACGATCTAACGCTGGGAATTATAACTAGTATAGAAGAGGACTTCGGGCAAGGTGCGTTCAACCAAGTCATCCTGACAGCTAGACCAAGTTGCGAAGACGAGACAAATCCACTTCTCTACTAGCTAGTTAGTTTACCTGACTAATGAAAAACTTAGTAGGTTGTCGTATAAGAATGCGTCTATGTTCCTATGACGTTTGTCAAGTGGCATGATGAATGAAATTAAAACCCTAATTGTTGGGATTACTTCCATTTCGAGTAGAAGTGTTGGGTGAAGAGATTCTCAGGTCGGTTCCACCAGAAGACGACGGCGAATTCCTCTTGACCAGCTGTCGATTGGCTTTACTGGAAGAT